CCCTCAACCTGCCGGGCTCCGGCGATCCTTCCGCCTCAGCCTTCCAAGTAGCCGGAATTACAGGCATGCACTACCACGCCCGGCTGATTTTTTGATTTATTGTAGAGATGAGGTCTTGGCGGGTCTCGAACCCACAGGGTCAGGCAATGCACTCACCTCAGCCTCCCAAAGGCGCGGGATTACAGGCTGAGCCACCGAGCCCGGCTTTGAATTTTTTTTTTTAATTGTAGAGATAAGGTCTTGTCAAGTTGCCCAGGCTGGTCTTGAACCCATGGGCTCAGGCAATCCACTCACCTTGGCCTCCTAAAGTGCTGGGATTATAGGCTGAGCAACTGATCCCCCAAAACTTTTTTTTTTTTGAGTCAGAGTCAAACTGTTGCCCAGGCTGGAGTGCAGCAGCACACTCACGGCCACCAAAGCCTTGACCTGCAGGGCTCAGGCGATCCCTCCTCCTCGGCCTTCCAAGTAGCTGGAAACACAGGTACGTGCTACCATGCCAGGTTGATATTTTTATTTATTGTAGAGACGAGGTCTTGCCACGTTGCCCAGGCTGGTCTTGAACCCCTGGACTCAGGCAATCCTCTTGCTGCTACCTCCAAAATGCTGGAATTACAGGCGTGAGCCACCATACCCAGCTGCAAGCTTTTTCTTAAAGGGCAAGATAGATAATATTTTAGGCTTTGTGGTCCAAAAGGTAAAACTGAGGCTATGATGTAGGAACTTGTATAGCTATTTAAAATGTAGCCATGTGAAAATGTAAAAACCATCCTTAACTCACTCCTGGTTGGCTAGATTTGACGACTACAGTGTGCCAATGCCAGGTTTCTTTGCTAATTTCCCTCCCCTATCTTGCATCATTTGAAAGAATGATGTAATACTTTTCTCTAAAAAGAGAGGAGTCATTTTTCCCCCCAACTAATGTCAGACTGTCATGACTAATTAGTTACTTGTGCAATGACTAGTATTACACCCACACAGTAGATGTAGAATGTTTTATTTATGTATTTTTTTTTATCTGTGCAGATGTCTCTGTCCTCATCTTTCTTTTTTGACTTGAAGTCTCACTCTGTTGCCCAGGCTGGAGTGCAGTGGCACGCCCACGGCCACCACTGCCTCGACCAGCTGGGCTTAGGTGATTCTTCCTCCTCAGCCTTCCAAGTAGCTGGAACTGCAGCTGTGAGCCACCACACTTGGCTAATTTTTTGGCTTATTTTCTTGCCATGTTGCTCAGGCTTATCTTGAACCCCTCAGCTCAGGCAATCCTCTTGCCTCCAGCTCCCAAAGTGCTGGGATTACAGGCATGAGCCACTGTGCCAGTAATCTCTGTTCTCATCTTTATCTTTGTCTCTTTCTTACTGAACCACAGAATTCCAAAAGGGTGAGACCTGTATCTGTTTAATGTAGTAGGTACAGTCTCAGCAGAGCACAAGCATCAAATGGACATTAGACACATTTGCAAAATTACCTACTGCGAATATAAAATTCAACAAGAGACATAAGAAAAAGCAGATGGAAATACACATAAACGTTCTTTATTTAGAGTGATGATATATGTAATTTCTAAAATCTTTAAGTTTATGAGATTATATCTGTTTTCTTAAAAAAGGAAAAATTACAATTAAGAATAGAAATGAAAATGCAAAATCAAGGTAACAAATATTTTTGGCTCTAAAACTAAAAAAAAAAAAAAAAGATCAATGAAGAAAACCATTGAAAAAGAGAAAAATGATACTGCTGATTTCTCATGTTAAGGGGGAAAAGGCCTTTTAACCATATTTAGAGTGGCTGAAAATGAACAGCAATGATCTTTTTGAACTAAAACTTCAATAACACATCTCATTTAAAAAAAGGAACAAAGGAACTTTAGCCAGACCATCCCTGTACAGGTTATTTAGCACAGTAATTTCATGGCTGCAAAATACATACCTAATGACAAGCAAACCAATGACCAGGAAACATGAAGACAGCCTTTCCCTTTACAACATGATATTCAAGTGCTTTCTATGGAAAATGTATAAATCAAAAAGTGTTTGAAGCTTAATTTTATCTTACAAAAATTGACTCCATTAAAACCAACATGAGCCGGACTCGGTGGCTCAGCCTGCAATCCCGCACCTTGAGGCTGAGGTGAGTGGATTGCCTGAGCCTGCGGGTTCGAGACCCGCCTGGGCAACTTGGCGAGACTTCATCTAAATAAAAAAATTAGCCAGGCTGGTGCGCGCACCTGTAGTTCCAGCTACTGGAAGGCTGAGGTGGAAGGATCGCCGGAGCCCAGCAGGTCGAGGCTGCGGTGGCCGGGAGCAGCCACTGCACTCCAGTCTGGGTGACAGAGTGAGACTCCAACTCAAAAAAAAAAAAAACCAACATGATTAACTTCCATTCATTGAATAACTGAGCCAACAATATTATAAAAATATGTAAAAAATATTCTAGATTCATAATTACTAGATATGCTAATACCCATAAGAGCTAGTATAAATTTGATGCTTAAAAAAATAGTTTTGTTTCCTTAAAAACACTTGGTTCGTTTACCATTGAGTATCAGATAGACAGATGCTATCCTCAAGTACCAAAAAAACCACAAAGAAAAACAGCAATGTCTATACTTTCGCTTTCTTGTTAGGTGGATCTTGAAGACTAAACTTTGGAATTTCACCAGAAGGAGCATATGGAATTCTCTTTGAAGATACCTTCTTGCCAATTGTTTCAATCTGAAGGAAAAACAAATTTAAAGAACTATTAATAATTGCAACATATAAAAATGTAAGAACCTTTGAAGGTAGTGAAATATGAGGAGAAACCTAGAGTACTTTTCTTTCTCTTTTTTTTTTTGAGTCGGAGTCTCCCTCTGTTGCCCAGGCTGGAGTGCAGTGGCACGCTCCTGGCCACCGCAGCCTCAACCTGCTGGGCTCAGGTGATCCTCCCACCTCAGCCTTCCAAATAGCTGGAACTATAGGCATGCACTACCACGCCCGGCTAATTTTTTGACTTATTGTAGAGATGAAGTCTCACCATGTTGCCCAGGCTGGTCTCGAAGCCACAGACTCAGGCAATCCCCTAGCCTCGGCCTCCCAAAGTGCTGGGATTATAGGCACCATATGTGGCCTCATTTTATCTTTAAAGATATTACTTCCTTATTACCTTCCCTTCCCTTCGCAGCAGAGATAAAAACACTACTCAATTTTCACATCTTTTGAATTAAAAATTAATATTTAATTCGACTCAAAATATCAAGAAAGGTCTTCTGCTTTATATTAATCAGTTGACCTCATTATTTTGTAGAGGCAAGGTCTCACTATGTTGCCCAACCTGGTCTTGAACTCCTGGGCTCAAGCAATTCTCCTGCCTTGGCTTCCTAAACTGATAGGATTACAGGTATGAGCCACTGTGCCCGGCCCCCTAATTGTTTTTTTTTAATACTTAAGAGGAAAGTTAACTTATTTATTTAATTGGTTTTTGCTAAGTTTTTTTTGTTTTGTTTTGTTTTTAGTTGGAGCCTCACTTTTTCTTTTTCACTCAGGCTGGAGTGCAGTGGCATGCTCACTGCCACCGTAGCCTCAACCTGCTGGACTCAAGGGATCTTTCCACCTCAGCCTTCCAAGTAGCTGGAACTACAGGCATGTGTGACCACACCCGGGTAGTTTTTTTTATTTATTGTAGAGATGAAGTCTTGCTAAGTTGCCCAGGCTGATCTCAAACCCCTGGGCTCAGGCAATCCTCTCGCCTCCACTTCCTAAAGTACTGGGATTACAGGAGTGAGCCACTGCACCTGGCGGAACTCAAAATCATTTAAAATATGTATATCTCAACACATCTTTTCCCTTAGAGGAACTCAAAATCATTTAAAATATGTATATCTCAACACATCTTTTCCCTTAGAGGAGTAAAACAGAAATGAAGAAAATATGTCTATGCCTTGAAAGTAACCTTTTAAAATTAAAATTCCCTAGTTTAAGTCATGACTGGGGAAAACAGTCATGCTGTGACTCACTAAGGATGGGTGGGATAGAAGAGTCCCCAAGGTCCTGGCTGGAGGAGTTAACAGACAATGATGTCATGTAACATCTGCCACAAGCCAGTCTCTCAAGAATGAGAAATGGGCACTGAATTCTAAATAATAAGGACCATCGACAAGTGGGTAAGACATTAAAAGAACCAGATCAGATATTCATGAAAAGCAGAAGAGGCCTTCCTTGCACTGCTCCACGACAGCTGGTGCCAAGGACATGCACAGAGCCAGCTGTTAAGCACACCTATTCAGCTGGACCCAACGCTGATGGCCAACCCTGGTGTCTCCTTATCCTCCCTAACTTATCCACCTCCTGGTCCCACCTATACACTGCTCTGAGGAGATGGAAGGAAGTTCCATTCTTTTTTTTTTTTTTTGAGTTGGAGTCTCATTCTGTCACTCAGGCTGGAGTACAGTGGCACACTCACGGCCACCCCAGTGTCGACCTGCTGGGCTCAAGCGATCCTTCCGCCTCAGTCTTCCAAGTAGCTGGAACTACCCTACCACATCTAATTTTTTGATTTATTGTAGAGATAGAGTCTTGCCAAGTTGCCCAGGCTTTTCTCGAACCAGTGGGCTCAGGTAATCCTCTCACCTTGGTCTCCCAAAGTGCTAGGATTACAGGCTTGAGCCACCATGTCCAGCCAGAAGCTCCTGAATATTTTTGGGACTCCTAGTTGAATTAAAATAGATGTAACATACAAACACACTGTTCTGTCAGCTTCCAAAATGTTCCATAATTGACAAGCTTCGAATTAGAAGAGGGCCAGTACAAGGAAGCTCCCATACTCTTCATTCAGACTTTTCTAGCAAAGGACAGTGCTGAGGACACAAGAGGTGCAGGGTGGAGACCTGCCAATGGACCAAGACCCCTCTCTCCGAGCAGCCGGCAGTGTGGCTGGTGGCTATTCCCACACGCAGATGCCAGTGCTCTACCAGGCCAGGGCACCGCCTCCATTACCACCTCAGTCACGGCCCACTCCTTGCCCAAATTCTCTTTAGGTAAGAGAAGACACTATGGATATTGGGTCAGCTGAAAATAAGCAATGACAACAATAATACCAACATAAAACAACTATGTTGCCTGTTACTGTTTTCAAAACATACTCATACGTTTTCTTACTTGATTTTTGTAATATGACAGAAGGCAGGGCACTTTCTGTCCCTCTTTTACAAGGCAATGGATGACCTCCCTACCACATAAGGGAGACCAAGCCTGAATAACCTTTGGATAACACATTCAAGGAGGGGGTAGAGCTGTTACAACACTCCCATAGAGACTTCCCGGAGAACTGATGTGGTGCCCAGTCAGTTATTGCTAAATAAGAAAATATGCAACTACTAAAACCATGAAACAAGTTTAAAAAGCAAATAACCAAACCAAAAAAAAAAAAAATCTAGGGTCATGGTTACCTGGAAGCCGATGGTCTGTAGCTCATTGTGAAGTCCATCCAGGACACGCCGTCCATCAAAGATAAAGGCTGGCTTCAGCATCTTTTTATGAATGCGTTCATAATCCAGTTCCTGTAAAGACACCCCGAAGGAACAATCAGAACACACCCAGGGCCTGGTGCGATGGCTCATGCCTGTCATCCCAGCATTTTGGGAGGCAAGAGGATTGCCTGATACTATGGGTTCAAGATCAGCCTGGGCAACTTGGCGAGACCTCCTCTCTACCATAAATCAAAAACATCAGCTGGGTAGGTGGCATGCGTCTGTAGCTCCAGCTACTTGGAAAGCTGAGGCAGAAAAATCACCTGAACCCAGAAGGTTGAGGCTACGGTGGCCGTGAGCATGCCACTGCACTCCAGCCTGGGCCACAGAGTGAGACCCCAACTAAAACAAACAAAAATCCAAAATACACACACACAAAGACAAGCATACACACACACTCAACTCCAACTGATACCAGAATAGCTCCTGCAGTTTCTTTAATATCATTAATGACATCTCACCTTAAACATGTCCCACTCAGTGCAAATAACAACAGCATGGGCACCATCACACGCTTCATATGGATCCTTGGAAATGGTCACAAGTCGGGACACTATGACAGCAACAACAAAAGGGCAGAAACAAGGAGGCAGGTGTTATTTGAAATTACAGTCATCCCCTTTTATCAGCAAGGGCTACATTCCAAGATCCCCAGTGGATGTTTGAAACCGTGGATAGTACCGAACCCTGTACGTGACTATGTTGCTTCAATCTGATAACCAAAATGGCTGCTAAGTCACTACTGGACAGTGAGTGTATACAGTGTGGATATGCTGGGAAAAGGGATGACTCATGTTCCAGGCAGGATGGAGCCGGTGGCGTAAGAGTGCACCATGCTGGTCAGAACACCATGCCATTCAAAACTTATGAACTGGCTGGGTGCAGTGGCTCACACCTATAATCCCAGAACTTTTGGAGGCCGAGGTGAGAGGATTGCCTCAGCCCACAGGTTCGAGACCAGCCTGGGCAACTTGCCGAGACCTCATCTCTACAATAAATCAAAAATTAGCCAGGCATGGTGGCACACACTTGTAGTTCCAGCTACTTGGAAGGCTGAGGCAGACTTGCCTGAGCTCAGCAAGTCAAGGCTGTGGTGGCTGTGAGTGTGCCACTGCACTCCAGCCTGGGCGACAGAGTTAGACTCCAGCGTGAAAGAAAAAAAGTATGAACTACTTAGTTTTGGAATTGTCCGTTTAATATTTTCAGACCACAGTGGACTGCAGATAACTGAAACTGAAGACAACAAAACCCCATATAAGGGAGGGCAGAACTGTTATATACTGCAGCACTAGGACTGCAGGAGGAGTTGAAAACAGGCTGACTGAAGCATGCATGGAAGTGATGGTGGGGAGGCTAGAGTACCTCCAAACCCTGCCCAGAAGTACCTCCTTGGAACCTATGGGGCTTCGTGGACTATGTTGAAAAATCAGCAAACTAACACACAGCTGATCAAATCCAAGTTGATAATGTAACGCTTAAGAGTTTACTTTTAGAGGGCATACCAATGATATAAATGATAAAGTGGAACAATCTAAGGTTTCCAGAGACAAGTTTCAGGGTCCGTACCCAGAGTGACTCCTAAGACGCAGCCTTACCCTGGTCATCCTCTGAAACACCTGGATGAGAAAGATCCACAACGATTTGTTCCCTGGGTACTTTCGGATCATATATGTGGAGGTGTGCGCCTTCATCCATCAAATACTTGCTAATATAAATGCTAGAGGATTCTCTAAAGGAAAAAAAAAATCAGTGTTGCTAAGCTTTCAATGGTATCATATGCTAATACCAGAGAAGATACAGGTAAGATTTTATTTCTTAGGTTGGGCGTGGTGGCTCACAGCTATAATCCTGGCACTTTGGGAAGCCAAGGTGAGAGAACTGCCTAAGCCCACAGGTTTGAGACCAGTTTGGGCAACTTGACAAGACCTCTCATCTCTACAATCTATCAGAAAATTAGCCAGGCATGGTGACGTGTGTCTGTAGTTCAGCTACTTGGAAGGCTGAGGCAGAAGGATTGCCTGAGCCCAGCAGGTCGAGGCTGTGGTGGCCGTGATTGTGCCACTGCACTCCAGCCTGGGCGACAGAGTAAGACTCTGACTCAAAAAATAAAAATATTTTATTTCTTAAGCTGAGAGGTGAAGATTTTATTTTTATTCTTTGTCCTACACATGTATTTCATAGACATATCCACCAGCCAAAATATTAGGATAAGGTGAAATACTTTAAACAACTGATACCTCGTATCACCAGTGTCCTTTTTGAAGGCAAACCCCAAAATGGCGATCTTCTTATCAGTCACGGTATTAAACAGACTGTCTATGATCCGGGAAGCAAACCTCCTCCTCTGGTAGTCATTCATGTCTATGACCTGAAGACACGTACAATTGTGCAATGATTAGTTAAAAGAGGTGCAGCCTGCAACATACACTACTCAAGAGTTTTATGGTGAATGCTATTGTACACATACAGTGCTTACATATTAACAGGAGGCAAAGATTAACCAAACTCTAGTGTCCATGTGTTTAAAAACAAAAATAAGAATCTCCCATCCCTTTCCTTAAAGCCATCCTGAAGATTTTGATTTTCATCTGGCTTGATCTTCTATGTATCAGGCTGGGATAGATACAAAAATGGGAGAGCAACTAAGTTTTTTTTTTTTTTTTTTTTGAGTTGGAGTCTCACTCTGTCCCCCAGACTGGAGTACAGTGGCCGCTCCCGGCCACCACAGCCTCGACCTGCTGGGCTCCGGCGATCCTTCCGCCTCAGCCTTCCGAGTAGCCAGAATTACAGGCATGCGCTACCACACCCGGCTGATTTTTTGATTTATTATAGAGATGAGGTCTCGCTGCGCAGGCGGGTCTCGAACCCGCGGGCTCAGGCAATCCACTCACCTCAGCCTCCCAAAGGTGCGGGATTACAGGCTGAGCCACCGAGCCCGGCTAGCAACTAAGTTTTAATTCTAAGAGCATCTGAAGTCCAGCTATGAGGCCAGCCTAAACAAGGCAGATAGAAAACAGTATTCTCAGGCCAGGCATGGTGGCTAATGCCTGTAATTCCAGCACTTTGGGAGGCCAAGATGGGAGAATCACTTGAGCCCAGGAGTTCAAGACTGGCCTAGGGAACGTAGCGAGTCCACATTTCGGCAAAAAATAAAAATAATTAGCCAAGCATGCTGGCACATCTGTAGTCCTAGATACGGAGGAGGTGGAGGTGGAAGGATCATCTGAGCCTAGGAGGCTGAGGTTGTGGTGAGCCATGATCCTGTCACTGTACTCCAACCTGGGCAACAGAGTAAGATCCCGACTCAAAAGAAAAAGAAAAAAAAAGAAAACCATATTCTCCTTAGGCAACTTCTCTAAACCCTGTGGAAGTAAGGTAGTAAGCAATCAACCCCCAAAGTACTCCTTTACTTGCTTACGCCCTGTCATTCACCAAAATTCCGTTTGAGTAGAAAATGAGTGGGGGAACAGTCAAGCAATGTGCGCAGTTATAGCTGCTTATGGCTTCTATAACTGTAAGACCACAAATACTTGATGAGGTTTTTAACTAAATGTTTTAAGAGCAACAGTCTCTGTTACCTAATCTGTTAAATTTACATTTGTGACCAAATGAACATAACAAAAGAGATATTTTTTGAGGTTCTAAGCTTCCAGGGGGTCATTTCAAACCCCAAGAACTTGGGAAATAACCCCAAAGACTTGGAAGATCAAGACTTTACTGGCATTTTTCACATAGTGAACTGTAAGATAAAGCCACCATGCTGAACGGAGTGAAATACACTAAAAGTGTATAGTTTCCATAAAAACTGTGCATTTCCAGGCAGGCACGGTGGCACATGTGTGTAGTCTCAACTCTTTAGGAAGCTGAGGTGGGAGGATCACTTGAGCCCAGGAGTTCAAATGCAGCCTAGGCAAAAAAATTTTTTTTCTTTTTTTTGAGTTGGAGTCTCACTCTGTCACCCAGACTGGAGTGCAGTGGCTGCTTCTGGCCACTGCAGCCTCGACCTGCTGGGCTCCCGCGATCCTTCCGCCTCAGCCTTCCGAGTACTGGAACTACAGGCGTGTGCTACCACACCCAGCTAATTTTTTATTTATTGTAGAGATGAGGTCTCGCCAAGTTGCCCAGGCGGGTCTCGAACCCACAGGCTTAGGCAATCCACTCATCTCAGCCACCCAAAGTGCGGGATTACAGGCTGAGCCACCAAGCCCGGCTGTAAAATTTTTTTAAATGTACATTTCCTTAGATTCCCTCCCATATCTATTGCTGAAATCTGAAAAATTATAAACTCATGGGAAAAATAATTGGGAAAGGCACACATACTGGCTAGTACCTTGGGCAAATTACTTAACATCTCTAAGTGTCAGTTCCCTCATCTAAACATGGGGATGCTAGTGATGAGGACTAAAAGAGATAAAGCCCATAAAATGCACACAAGAGTACTCAACACAAGGTAAGCACTCCATAAACATGAACTCTATCTCCTGGAGCTCACTCAATGCTTCCAATTTGGGAAGGGTTTCTAATTTTAGTTCTGTGAACCTGAAAGGTCCAAAACTAGTATCAACAGATGAAAACCACTTGAAAGCATTACAATAAAAGATGGCCATTCTTGCTTTACTCTGGGAGCATATTTAGTTATAAAATTAGAAGAAATACTGGTTTATCAGAAACTTCCATCACAGTTGATTAAAGATGAAGAAGTCCAATAAATAAACCTAAAATAAGCAAATTCAAAATAATAACGGTAGAGTCCCTGGAATAAATAATTCTATTGAAAATACTTCACAGATCCTTTTGTAGTTCCTAAGCAAGATGATTGAATATTCATGTGATGTGTGTAAGATGTGCCACCGTCAAACCTTGTTAAATGTCGGCACATTAGCTGTCTGACAACAAAAAAGAAAAAAGTAATGAAAAGCACGTCACAAAGGGTGATGTGTTTAATTAGAAGCTAAGCAGGCCGGGCATGGTGACTCAAGCCTGTAATCCCAGTACTTTGGGAGGCTGAGGCGAGAGGATTGCCTGAGCCTAGGGTTTGAGACCAGCCTGGGCAACTTGGTGAGACCTCGTCTCTACAATAAATCAATAAATTAGCCAGGCATGGTAGCGCTTGCCTGTAGTTCCAGCTACTTGGAAGGCTGAGGCAGAAGGATAGCCTGAGCCCAGCAGGTCAAGGCTGCAGTAGCTGTGAGCGTGCCATTGTACTCCAGAGTGGGCAACAGAGTATGACTCTGACCAAAAAAAAACTAAACAAAAACTATTTACTATAAAGATTAATACCTGCTGCCAATAACGTGCTACTTCAGGCAAATTCAGAGCCTCACAGAGATAAACCAAATTCAGAACATCTTTTTGGAAGCAGCTCCCACCAAAACCTGCAGGAAGAAAAAAAGTTAACAATATTTTCATGTAAGAACAAGACAATGCAATCATGTGACAAATTTCTTTATACTAAATCACAAGACCTATACTAAGGATTTTTTAATAATAAAATTCTGATGTTGAAGAATAGGGAGTTTAAAAATTATGTGAAATTTATAGGCAACTAATCAACTCTGTAAGTCATTTTCAAATAATTTTTTAAACTCAGTCTCACTCTGTCCCCCAGACTGGAGTGCAGTGGCACACTCACAGCTACCATAGCCTCAGCTCACTGGGCTCAGGCAATCCTTCTATTTCAGTCTTCCAAGTAGCTGGGACTATAGATGTGCACCACTACATCTGGCTAATTTTTTGATTTATTGTAGAGACAAGGTCTCACCAAGTTGCCCAGGGTGGTCTTGAACCCCTGGGCACAAGCAATCCTCTCATCTCAGCCTCCCAAAGTGCTGGGATTACAGGCTTGAGCCACCATGCCTGGCCTGTTTAGCTTCTGATAAACACGTCACCCTTTGTGAAGTGTTTTTCTCTTCTTAGTCGGACGTGATGGCACATGCCTGTAGTTCTAGTTACTTGGAAGGCTGAGGCGAAAGGATTGCCTGAGCCCAACAAGTTGAGGCTGTGATGGCCATGAGCATGCCACTGCACTCTAGCCTGAGTGACAGAGTGAAACTCCACCTCAGGAAAAAAGCATCCATAGATACCATTGTAATCCAGTGGATATGGTTATGTTCCAATAAAATTTATTTACTAAAACAAGCTGTAAACCAGATTTGGCCCAAGGACCATAGTTTTGCCTACCCTTGCTCTACTGCAATGCAGTAAGGCATGGTATGGGCTTTGAAGTAGAAACACTGGGACACTCAGTTGTATGACTTTGAGCAAGCTGCACAAAATTTCCCTGAGCCTGAATCATCTCTAAAATAGAAACAGCAGCACCTTCCTAACAGGTTATAAGAATTAAATGATTGCCGGAGTCCACGTGTTTGAGACCAGCCCGGGCAACTTGGCGAGACCTCATCTATACAATAAATTTAAAAATTAGCCAGGTGTGGTAGCATGCACCTGTGTAGTTCTGACTACTTGGAAGGATGAGGTGGAAGGATTGTCGGAGTTCAGCAGGTTGACGCTGGGGTCGCCGGGAGTGTGCCACTGCACTCCAGCCTGGGCAACAGAATGAGATCCCAACTCAAAAAAAAAAAAAAAAAATTTAAATGAACCAGGCACAGTGGCTCAAACCTGTAATCCCAGCACTTTGGGAGGCCAAGGCAAGAGGACTGCCTGAGCCCAGGGATTCGAGACCAGCCTGGGCAACTTGGCAAGATCTTATCTCTACAATATATTAAAAATTAGCCAGGTATGGTAGAGCATGCCTATAGTTCCAGCTACTTGGGAGGTTGAGGCAGAAGGATCGCCTGAGCCCAGCAGGTTGAGGCTGCGGTGGCCGAGAGCGTGCCACTGTACTCCAGTCTGGGCGACGGAGTGTGACTCCAACTCAAAAAAAGAAAAGAATTAAATGAGACACATAAAGTGCTGGTACTGAACTGGCAAATAATATAACTTCAGTAAACAGCAGCTACTTGTATTAAGTGACAGCTAGAAAAAAACATTAAAAGAGAAAGATATAAAAAGTCAGGAAAACCAGCATCAGAAAATGACATACAGTCCCAGAAATACTGGAAGGGCTGCCTATGGCCCAATCCATAAAATATTTTATTTACCTTTATATCAACGTTTTAACTTATATCTAAAAATACAGTCAATTCTCATTATTTGTGGTAGTCATGTTCTATAAAATCATCACAAACACTGAATTGGGAAATGCCAAAGCATTGTTCTAGGCGAAATACAGAGTTAGGTTTCTGCAAGCTTCTGTTCACAATTTTGTCAACTGAGCAATACATAATTCTGTTTTACATGCGCATTTGTTTAAAGACTATTTATTTATTTATTTATTTTTATTTATTTGTTTGAGTCAAAGTCTCACTCTGTCGTCCAGGCTGGAGTGCAGTGGTGCAATGATAGCTTACTGCAGCTTCAACCTGCTGGGCTCAGGCAATCTTTCTGGCTCAGCCTTCCAAGTAGCTGGAACCACAGGTGTACACCACCACACCCAGCTAATTTTTTGATTTATTGTAGAGATGAGGTCTTGCCAAATTCCCCAGGCTGGTCTTGAACTCCTGGGCTCAGGCATAGGCATGTACCACAACACCCAGCTAATTTTTTTTGACTCATTGTAGAGATGAGGTCTTGCCAAGTTGCCCAAGATCAGCCTGGGCA